GTAATTGGAGGCATATGGTCCTTTGCATCCATTGCTTAATTACATTTAAGAATTTACTCCTTTTTTGTCATTTTAAATAATTGCCTCATAACACTAAGACATTGCTATTTGTTCATTTGCAGGAACCATTGGCGTTAGCGAGTGGGGCTCTGCCAGACTGGTGTGAACAGTTAACCAGCAAGTGTCCTTTTCTAATTCCATTTGAAACTAGACAGCTTTATTTCACATGTACAGCATTTGGTGCATCAAGGTAGGAAGTGTGTCTTTTAATATTTTTAGAATAAATTTTTTTGTGTTACATTATTTCAAAATGTATACCACAAAGAGGACCCCCCCAAAAACACAGAATTTACTTATTTAAAAGTTAATTCTTACATATTTAAACTCGTCACCTTTGAAGTACCCTTCGTTTGATGCAATATGCCTGTTGAGACACTTTTTCCCCTGCTCAAAACAATTTTTCTTTAAGAAATTTTATTTTGTTATAGAGATGTGGGGTACAAGTAAGGATTAACTACATAAGTAGACTGAATGCAGGTGAAATTTGAGCTTCTAGGTGGCCCTTACTCACCCTGGTGGTGGACCAGTATCTCCTTTGTGTCAAAACCGTTTTTTGGGTTTTTTTTTGAGTTGGAGTCTCACTCTGTCACCCAGACTGGAGGTAATGCGCACCTTTAATTCCAGCTACCTGGAAGGCTGAGGCGGAAGGATCGCCGGAGCCCAGCAGGTTGAGGCTGCGGTGGCCGGGAGCATGCCACTGCACTCCAGTCTGGGTGACAGAGTGAGATTCTAACTCAAAAAAAAAAAATAAAAGAAATGAAGTAATGATATATGCTACAATACAGCTGAATCTTAAAAACATGCAAATGAAAGAAGGCAGTCACAAAAGACCATATACTGTGATTCTATTTATATGAAATGTTCAGAATAGGCAAAACGTAGAGACAGAAGTACATCACTGGTTGTCCAGGGATAGGAGGGATGAGGGGACTGGGGATGACTTCCAAAGGGTACGGGGTTTTGAGATCATGAAAATATTCTAAAATTGATAGTGGTTGCACAACTCTATAAAAATACAAAAATTACTGAATTATGTACTATAAGTAAGTGAATTTTTGTATAGTAAATGAGTTTTGTTAGCAGTAAAGCTGTTTTTTTTTTTTATTTAATAAAAGGAGGCCAGGCATGATGTCTTACGCCTATAATCCCAGCACTTTGGGAAGCCGAGGTGAGAGGATTGCCCAACCTCATGGGTTTGAGACCAGCCTGGGCAACTTGGTAAAACCTCATCTCTACAATAAATGAAAAAATTAGCCAGGCATGGTGGCGTATGCCTGTAGTTCCAGCTACTTGGAAGGCTGAAACAGAAGGATCACTTGAACCCAGTAGGTCGAGGTTGCGGTGGCTGTGAGCATGCCATGCACTCCAGCCTGGGTGACAGAGTGAGACTCCAACTCAAAAAACAAAAACAAAAAGGAAATCAGGCTAGAGAAAATCCATAACAAAATTAGGATATTAGGATAAAATTTTTTTTCCCTACTCTTTTTAGGAAGAAAGAACAACAAAGATGGTATTTAATCCTAAGTAAGAACAAAACTCAAAAGTGTCTTAAGTATGGCTACTCTCTCTAAACATCAGTGTCCAAAGACCATGGGCTTGTGGTGTGGACCAGGGAACACTATGGTCGGAAGGCAATTCTAGTACCCTTCTGCAATGGGAAACTAGAGCTTCAGCAAGCTGCTGTCCAAATGTGGAAATCTTTTTGTTGTTGTTGTTGGATGTCACTGTCATTCAGGCTGCAGTACAGTGACACGATCACGGCTCACTGCAGGTTCAACCTCCTGGGTTCAGGCAATCCTTCCACCTCAGCCTTCTGAGTAGCTGGGACTACAGGTTCGTGCCACTATGACGGGCTAATTTTTATTTTTTTGTAGAGACGAGGTCTCTCTGTGCTACCTAGGTTGGTATTGAACTCCTGGGCTCATGTGATCCTCCTGCCTCAGCCTCCCTAAGTGCTAGGATCACAGGTGTGAAGCTACCACTTCCAGCCCAAATTGGGGGAGCATTAATAAGAACCTCAAACAACGTACACCATGATTTATAACACCAGATGGCATTCTTAGACTGCTGGGTGAAATTTCAGGTCAACATCACTTACAGTTGAAGAAAGCATTGAAGTCCTCATCACTATCAAAATCAAATCGAGAATATTCGCAGCTAGGGTTATCTGTTTTTGAAGGAAAACCCATCTGGAAAGAGAAAGGTAATCAGGGTAGGAGATGAAACAGACCTACTGTAAGTGTTTAAGCTTTAGGAGCTCAAGCGCTTTTTGATTTATTAAAGAAGAATTAAGGATTTGCATGAGATATTTTATGATAAACAATGGCTTTGGTTCTACCACTTTGCCCACAGTTCCAATATTCCTGATAGTGGTAGAAAAGAGAACACTTTCAGTTGATACCCTCTCCTCAGGGAGAATTAATTTCTTGAATTGTTTGAGGGTCTATCAGTATGAAGATGTCCCAAGACAAAGTGATAATTCAGCATGCAGTAAGGAAAAAAAGAATTGAGAACTACTTGTCTCAAATGGTGAACAGAGAACATGTAGAACTTAGATGTTTCATTCAAAAAAGTATGAATACCATGGAAGATAATCAGAACACAGCGTGTGTGCTATGTGCTAGGTGAATTCCTTGGGCAAGTAAGGAGACCCTTGAATGGGGTTTCATTCTCTGACTTTACAAATCAAGATTAAGAATCTGTCAATTGCAAGAGCTGCTAGCAGAGTTCAGGGAATTCATAAGCAACTCTCTACTAAGGAACTAAGTGATCTTTACTTCCACTCTCATTCCCGTCTCATTTGTCTTCTTCTCACTTGACCTTCAGAAACAATACTTAGATGTTATATCCTCTTAGAATCTTCCTGACTCCAGCCTCCTATGTACTTCCAAAGCATTCTGCTTTTACCCCCTGAACAGCAGTTATCACATTGTAGGGTTACTACTCTTGCCCTAGCACCCAGGCCAATACTTGATATATAAGTGCTCTAAAATATAGAAGAACAGTTATAATAACCAGTATGGTCTGAGAATAATATGTCAGATGAAGGAATCTTAGTGATGAAGGACTGCCAATGATGCTGATCGGTCTTGTTATGTGTATTCATCTCCACTCCACATGTTTAGATTACCATTATATACCTTGACCAAATTAGTCATAGAAGCACGAAGATATTTCGGTAACATTGCTAACAGCAAAGGATCACGGGATAGGATCTCATGCCTGAAGAGGGCTCCCCAAGTAATCTGAGTTGAAGAGCGTAGAAACTAAAGGGAAAAAAAAAAAAGAATGGAAAATCTCAGTTTAAGGATTTGGGTTTTATATAATCAAGATTATTACTTAGCAACTATCAGTTACATTTTTTCATAGAAATAAATCTGTATGAAACTGTGAAACTGTATTGCCATGGAACAGTAATGACTGCTCACTATGGACGACATGTTAATAAGACGGGCTGTGGGTCAGGAGTAATTACTGGATTATGGGTTGAATTTTACCACTTTCTCTCCAAAGCAGAAAAAAACTGGAATCTCAGAGTGATATTAGAAGGAAAATCTTGAACTTGGTAAAATTAATTTTATAATAACACATTTAATCAGACTTTTGTTTTTAAAATATCCTAGCCTGTAATCCCAGCACTTTGGGAGGTGGAGGTGAGAAGATTGCCTGAGCCCAGGAGTTCAAGACCAGCCTGGGCAACTCGGCAAGACCTCATCTCTAAATCAAAAAATTAGCTGGGCATGCTAGCACACGCCTGTAGTTCCAGCTACTTGGAAGGCTGAGGCAAAAGGATCACCTGAGCCCTGCAGGTCGAGGTTGTAGTGGCTGTGAATATGACAGAGTGAGACTCTGACTCAAAAAAAAAAAAAAAAAAAAAATCCTTATAACTTTAGTACCAAATCACTGGGGCATACCTCACATCTGACTGAGTATAATCAGAACATTACCTGCTGACCTAGACAATACATTGCTGAGTCAGGAAGAAGATCATATCAGTCTCTTAATGAAATGACTCAATTGTCATTCCCCAGGGCCTGAAGAGTCATTTTAGACATAAGCTTCAATAATAATTCAGGCTGTAGTACTTGGTATTGGTTCACCTAACTAAAATTTTGAGAAATTAGCTGCATAAAGTTTACCTGACTTGGGTGGGTTGTGAAAGCAAGAAAAGATTCCAGGTATTTTCCGAAGTTTGCTGGTGTTTCTACATCAGAATCTATGCCCTGCAGGAGAAAAATAGAGAAAAAGACCACTATATTAATGATGTTGATTGGGGGAAGGGAAGAGAAAGAGCAGAGGAATAATAAAACAGGTAAGTTAAACCCTCAAAAAAGTTTATTTGAAAGGACTTTGAACATTCTTTTGGCTAAAGAAAGGCATCATTTCAAGGGCTGAAATATAGGAAAGCTACTTTGCCTCCTCGTCATCAGTAAAACCCTTTCTGAGGTCAAATAATAAAATGGAAATTGCAGAAAGAAAAAAAATCTTATTAGTTCTTCAGACCTAGCCTGTTCATATCTCTGTGATTCAACCTACTAAAATAACTACCCAACAGTATATAAATTATGTCTGACACTATCCTCTCTTACCATTTTTTTTTTTTTTTGAGTTGGAGTCTCACTCTGTCGCCCAGACTGGAGTGCAGTGGCCGCTCCTGGCCACCACAGCCTCGACCTGCTGGGCTCTGGCGATCCTTCCACTGTCAGCCTTCCAAGTAGCCAGAATTACAGGCATGCGCCACCACGCCCAGCTAATTTTTTTATTTATTGTAGAGATGAGGTCTTCGCTGCCCAGGTGGGTCTCGAACCCGCGGGCTCAGGCAATCCACTCACCTCAGCCTCCCAAAGGCGCGGGATTACAGGCTGAGCCACCGAGCCCGGCTCTCTTACCATTTAAGTCACCACAAAAAAGGCATAACATCTGTTCCAATATCCTATCTTCCAATATGTAAGACTGAGTATTAAATATTTCTCTATTAACAGGTTTTTCCAGGTCAAAAGAAAAGTTTTCATTTATGATCCAATATTATATCCTTTAGATTGGGAAATAGGTTATTAATTCAAGTCCATGTTTCACAGGCTAAAAGAACATAAAGGGTAATGCCCTCAGTAGATCAATGTTCTACAAGTACCAAAATTCCTAAGAACAGTAACCTGACTTTATGGAAAAAGATGTGGATGTCTGCTATTGATGCAATTCTTTTATTATTATATATATAATAACATGTATTATATATACACTATAACTTTCTAAATATTCTCCCCAAATGGCCCTGCACCTCTCCAGAAAGCAAGTGCCAGCTCACCAGCAATGCACACAGCTGATTGCCCAGCGCACACAACACCTGACAGAGTCTCTTCAGGAAGACATAGTGTTTTTCTACCAAGCCACCTCCATCAGCAGTCCTGGAAGATGAGAGAATTCCTTATACCACTGATATAATAAAAAAGACTGTAATAAAAACATGGCTTTGTGTCTCATTTCTCTAAGTCACTTAGTTCAGGACTATAATTCAGTAGAATACAAACAGCTCTGCTAAATTAAAAAAATTTTTGTACCTTATTTGGTGGCAAAACCTGACCTGAAATGACATAGGACTATTCACGTTAATAATAACTAGTGTGAATAGCAGTCATATTAGTTGTCTTCTGGAGGCCACAGAGTATAATATAAAAAGCATGGGCCTTGGGATAAACAAGGCCTACGCTCTAGTAATGTTGAAGGGCAGGCAGTATGGTATTATGGTTTCCAGTGCAGGCTCTGGAACAGACTTTCTCTGTTTGAATCATATCTTTACTAATGGAGTGTATGGTATGGTACCCAAAGCATAAATGAAAATGGGACACCTCAGTGTAAATGTCATGGTCTCTACAGAACTAAGAATCGGACATAGAAACAGTAACTACACAAAATACATGTTATTCACTTAATTAACAGGATCCATTAAAAACAGCTGCAGTCTCCATAGGAAAGAAAGCCATGATAAATGTGTATGAGAATGAATTGTAAGAGATTTTAAGTAATACATATGTGTCTCACATCTTTTCATTTCTTCTTGGGACCAAAAGTGAATAATATCAAAAAGAGAGTGTTACAACAGCTTCAACTATTTGTAATACATAGTTCTATCTGACTTCCTGGTAAGAAACACAAATTAGAAATGCTTTAATATTTTCCAGAGCAATTGGAAGAAAATAAGTAGAAGTTATTACAGGCATACATCGCTTATCAATAGGGATACAATCTGAAAAATGCGAACATCATAGTGTACTTACACAAACCTAGATGGTACAGCCTACTACACACCTAGGCTACATGGTGTAGCCTGTTTCTTGTAGGCCACAAACCTGTACAGCATGTTAGTGTACCAAATACTGCGGGCAATTATAACACAATGCTAAGTATGTATGTATCTAAACATTAAAAAGGTACAGAAAAAGAAGGATATAAAAGATTAAAATAATGGTACACCTGTCTGGGGCACTCCCCATGAACAGGGCTTGCAGGGCTAGAAGTCACTCTGGATAAGTCAGTGAGTAGTGACTGAATGTAAAGGCCTAGCACATCACTGTACACTACTGCAGACTTTTTTCTTTTAATTTTTCTTTTTTTCCCCTCTAACCTGCTTTAGAGAAGGCTGTGGACTTTATATATCCTGTACACTTAGGCTACAGTAATTTTTAAAAAATAAATATTCTTTTATCAATAATAAATTAACCTTAGCTTTTACTTTTTTACTTTATAAACATCTAAATTTTTTAAAACTCTGATTCTTCGTAATAACACTTAGCTTAAAGCACAAATACGTTGTACAGCTGTACAAAAAATATTCTCTTTATATCCTTCTTCTGTAAGCTTTTCCATTTTTAAAACTTTTCTTTTTTCTTTTAAAACTTTTTTGTTAAATACTAAGGCACACACGTTAGCATAGACCAACATAGAGTCAGAATCATCAAGCACTGCCTTCCACCTCCATATCTTGTTCTACTGAGAGGTCTTCAGAGGTAATAACATGCATGAAGTGGTTATCTCCTATGACAATGTCTTCTTCTGGAATACCTTCTGAAGGAACTGTCTGAGGCGAGGCTGTTTTATAGTTAACTTTAAAAAAAAATAAGTAGAAGGAATATACTCTAAAATAATGATAAAAAGTAGTACAGTAAATATATAAATCAGTGATATAGCAGTTTATTATCAAATATTATATATTATGCATAATTGTATGTGCTATACTCATATTACTGGCAGTGCAGGTTTGTTTATATCAGCATGACCAAAACAGATGAGTAATGGCACTGTGCTATGATATTATGTCACTAGATAAGAATTTTTGGCTCCATTATGGGACCACCAATCTGAACACATTATGTCATTATGCAGCACATGACTGTATTTCAGTATGTAGAATGTGTTTTATGCACACATCTCTTAGTTTGTTCCTGCTGCTTCCAAGGGCCTCAGCATTTCAGATATTGACTGCTTTTAAGAGGAAAGCAGGGAGTATCTGGAGTTCTGCACTCAAGGCAGGCCCTGGGATAGACTCTAGTACAGCAGTCAGAGAATTCTCAGGCCTAGACACCAATGCTACTTTAAAGGTCCATAGATTATCAGAAGCAGAAGAGAGAATCAAGGCAATGAGTTATCTGTGGAGGACAGTGAAGGTGAGTGGGTGCTGAGTCAACAGCCACAGTTTATCTCCAGCATAAGGTCTTTAAAAAGACTAAACAGTTCTTCTAAGATTGCCGGATTTTCTTATCCAAAAACATTGCCATTTGACTGCTAGCATTTAAGATAGGAACTTCAGATATGTAAATTAGGACCTCTCAGTAAAATTGAAAAATGACAAATCAGACAACAGACTGAAAAGTAAAGATACTCACTGTGCAGCAGAGAGTATATAATGCATGGCAACATCTCCAAATAAGACCATCAGGGGCTTCCGGTCTTCCAACTTGCCCTAGACCCAATTTTAGAAAAACAGTCACATAAACTATATTATTAAAAGCTTAAAAGTACCAACATCTTCTATGTTTATATAATCAAATTTATTAACTTCATAATTTCTCATATAACCCAAGGCTTAGAACGCTAGAAAAAAGCCGACTCTTTAAAACTAAATCTGGGTAAGTCTACATTTTAAAATGTGTTGGGCAATAATGCTGATATAACAGCAAATAACATCTGTAGGTAACATTCCTACAGAGAAAAGAGTCAAGGTCTCATTTGTTAGCCAAGACATAAAAAGTTAGTATAGTCACCATCGAAGATTTCTTGACATAACATTAAAGGGGATTTAAAGCCTGTCGCAGTGGCTCAAGTCTGTAAACCCAGCACTTTGGGAGGCCGAGATAAGGGGATTGCCTGAGCCCACAGGTTCGAGAACAGCCTGGGAAAAAAAAGAAAAGAAAAGAATAAATGGGCCTTAACTTTAACATTACTTTTTTTTGAGTCAGAGTCGCGCTCCATCGCCCAGGCTAGAGTGCAGTGGCATGCCCACGGCCACCGCAGCCTCGACCCCCTGGGCTCAGGCAATCCTTCCACCTCAGCCTTCCAAGTAGCCGGAACTACAAGCACGTGCCATCACACCCAGCTAATTTTTTGATTTATTATAGAGATGAGGTCTTGCCAAATTACCCACTCTGGTCTCAAACTCAGATTACTCTCTCACCTCAGTCTCCCAAAGTAGTGGTATTATAGACGTGCCTGGCCTAACATTACTTTTATATTTTAAGTGTAAAGTACCAAAAAAAATCACAGCTCTTTCAAGAACCAAGTATCCTGACAAACCTCTGTATATTCTGACAATGAAATATTGGCAAATTCCTGTCCAAAGGGATTAGAAGCAGGCAGTAAGTTGGCCTTAGGGGGAAAAATCCCCAAACCTTTAAATGTCTTTCTGCCACAACATACAATTAAAACACATAGACAGTCAACATCAGAGACTGAAGATAAAAGTCAGTTTGAAGTGGTAACTTACTTTTCTGCTGACTGCAATGAGAAGACACTCAGCTGCTCCCAATTGAAGTTCCTGTTCATTCAGAAGCAGGCACAGTATCTCCAGAAGTTTACAATTTTCAGCAGTAATGTGACTCATAGACACCCAGTCGATGTAGCCTGCTAGAGTATTCAATGCTGCAACTCCTACTCGACAGTTTGCTTGAGCCTGCATGAAATGAAATTAACTTTTGACCCTGAAGTCCTTACTAACAGATAAGAAAGCTGTGGTTACAAGTGAACTTCTATTTTCTAATTCCAAAAAAAGAGTTTTAAAAAATGTACTCATCTAACAGTCACAGATAGGGAACTCAAAGGTTTTCTTCTGGTACACAATCACTTCTCAAACAATGACATTCTCCACATCCATCAGTAAGACCATATCAGCATGTGTGGTCATTTTATTTTTTTAAAGAAATCTCAAATATTATGTTATTTTCCTTCCACCATACCTCAGAGATCATACACATTCAAAAAACAACCAAGGCTTCCTCCTTCCACCAGGTACATGCATTCCTTCACCTAAAAGTCTCAAAAAAGTTTCCCTCCAACTCCACAAAGAACCCTTACCTTTGACTCCTGAGAAGTATCTGTCTTCTGAAAGAAAAGAAGTAAAAGGATCCAATTTATTTAAAGAACAAAAGGCTACATAATAACTTTCTACTTCCATAATCAAGGTCCCTGAATGGTTCTTAACTACAGATGCAATTTTTAAACTTGGAAAAAAAAAAATACAACTTTACTAAGAACACTTAACTGATATTACCTAAGAACAGGTTAAAACCAGAAACAAAATTAAATGAACACAATTTATGACCATCTATGCATGGCATAACTGTAAGAAAACCATATATACAAAAATATTAGACGTTAAATACATAAAAATAATGACTGTTTAGTAAATGTACAAATATGGTTGATTTTCATCCTTATATTTCAAATCGCACGAAATATTAAATGATATTTGTAACTTACAAGTATATAAAATCAATATTTTCTTAAATTAACACCTGAAGGCAGTTAAAAGAGAAATAATACAAGTAGGTACAACAACTGCTTGAAGTATCTGAAAGCGCTTCACCATTGGGATCATAAAGGATTTGTTTTACAATTCCTTTTCTCACCTTTCAAGTGATTTTTTTTAAAACAACAAAAACAAGTATTCCATCAGTTATCAAGCAGAGGTGTTGATGGGGGCAGAAATGAGTAGAACTGTCTTACCAGCATCCACAGATGCTGCCCCAGAAAGAAAAGAGATCTAAGTGACAACAGCCAAGTCCAACCTCTATCCTTCACTCCAACAAATCCTCTGGGCCACCTGGCACCAGAAGAGAGAAAGCTTTTACATCCCATCTCTGTTTACCATTCAATCCACCCACTTCCCAATTGGGAAGGTGAAGGAATGGAAGTAAAAAGAACTAGGAGGGAACTGAGAAGTTCAAGGTACAAAGGCTGGCTCTTAGTATGCTCTGGTCTTAGGCAGAAAGTGGTAGCCTGGTTTAACAGTGGAGAGAACTGAAGCCACAGCTAAGGGAAGGAGACCACAGTGAATATGTATCTACCCTGGGTGAGAGCCACCACCTACCAGTTCTACCCTGGCATATGCTCCATTGGCTAGGGTTCCAGGGAATATAAAACTACTCATAATCTGAAAGTATTTGAAAACCAATGAATTTCACAAAATATTATAGTTGTGAACAGAAGATTACTTTTTTTTGAGAAAGCAGGATTTATTGAGAGGACAGAAAAGCTCCTATAGTGGGAGGGGACCCGAGGGGGTTACCCAGAAAATTACTTTTAATGTTACAGTATTGTGTTTTTCTTCTAAAACATATGGCCATTCATTAAAATGCAATTACTAACACTGTCTAAAGTGTAGCTTTACATATCCTAACTTTTCCCAAAAAAGTTCCTTTAATATTCTACAAATATCAGTGTTCATAATTTCTTTCTTTCTTTTTTTTTTTTTTTTTGAGTTGGAATTTCACTCTGTTGCCGAGGTTGGAGTGCAGTGACACACTCCAGTCAAGCCACTGTAGTCTTGACCCGCTGGGCTCAGGTGATCCTCCCACCTCATCCTTCCAAGTAGCTGGAACTACAGTTATGCACCACCATGCCTGGCTAATTTTTTGATTTATTGTAGAGACAAGGTCTCGTCAAGTTGCCCAGGCTGGTCTCAAACCCATGAGCTCAGACAATCCTCTCACCTCCACCTCCCATGACCAGCTAGCAATTTCTAAACTTATCTAGATAATCAGAGATGATATCATCCTGCAGAGCTGAAATATCTCTCTTCTGTCAAATGCTAACCTTTCAAATCAAAGGATTTTTTCCTAATAAAATGTATTTACTGGCTGGGCTCAGTGGCTCAGTCTGTAATCCCTCGTTTTGGGAGGCCGAGGTGAGTGAATTGCCTGAGCCTACGGGTTCGAGACCCGCCTGGGCAACTTGGCGAGACCTCATCTCTACAATAAATCAAAAAAATTAGCCAGGTGTGGTAGCGTGCACCTGTAGTTCCAGCTACTTGGAAGGCTGAGGCGAAAGGATCTCTGGAGCCCAGGAGGTCGAGGCTGCGGCCACTGCACTCCAGTCTGGGCGGCTGAGTAAGACTCCAACTCGGAAAAAAAAAATTTATTTACTGAAAGCCACTACTACTACCCTACTGCTGTTTCTTAGATTATGAAATATATCAGTTTCACCGGGCATGGTGGCTCACGCCTGTAATCCCAGCACTTTGGGAGGCGGAGGCAAGAGGATTGCCTGGGCCCACAGGTTCCAGACCAGTCTGGGCAACATGCCAAGAACTATTTTATTGTCTCTACAATAAAAAAAAATTAGCTGGTTGTGGTGTCACATGTCTGTAGTTCTAGCTACTTGGAAGGCTGAGGTGGAAGGATTGCCTGAGCCCAGTAGGTCGAGGCTGCGGTGGTGGTGAACAGCGTGCCACGGCACTCCAGCCTGGGCCACAGAGTGAAACGCTGACACAAAAAGACAAAAAATAAATATATCAGTTTCAGAAAAAATTGTTCTGTGTCTTAGTCTAATAACTCGACTTAGGGATAAAACACATCTGATCTTCTATTCACCTAAGTCGATCCATGTTTAAAAAAAAGATTCTCTCCTAGGCAGGTCCTCTCCACATGACAATTGTTCCCCTTCTCCTAAGTTAATCTTCCTAGTGAAAAACAAAAAGAATACTGCCCCCAACTCTCAACACACACAGGTTTTTAAATGCAGATATTTTCTTGATGTTTGCTTTTGAAGAATCTTAGGGAGATATTCTAGAGAAATCCATTACTATATAGTAAAAAGAATGGGTTATGAATTCCACCAGAATCATTTATTAGAAAAAAGGATCTTCAATAATTATTCCCTAAACCTTTGGAAACAATACCTTCTGACTTTGGGGCTGTTTTGAGGATTAAATAACATATAAAGTATAAACAAGTGCATTCAGCCCTACCTATTCTATCTGTGAATTCAACCAACTTCAAATCAAAGATAAAAGATACAATAAATACAAATTTTAAAAATATAGTGTAATACCAATTTACATAGTATACATTACATTAGGCATTATACATAATCTAGGGATCGTTTAAAGTCTATGGGAATATAAGATTACATGCAAATACTATGCCATTTTATATAAGGGACCAGCGTACCAGGGGATTTTGGTGAGGGGTGGGGAAGTGCCTGGAACTGGTTCCCTGAGGATACCAAGTGACAACTGTATATAGGATATATTATTAGGCACTCACTGTGAATTCCTCCTCTCCCTAAAACCTCATAGCACCTTTTCCTCAGTCGGTATTAGTATCTAGTGCTTCCGTAAAATTAGACCCAGTCGGGCTCAGTGGCTCAGCCTGTAATCCCGCGCCTTTGGGAGGCTGAGGTGAGTGGATTGCCTGAGCCCACGGGTTCGAGACCCGCCTGGGCAGCGAGACCTCATCTCTACAATAAATCAAAAAATCAGCCAGGTGTGGTAGTGCATGCCTGTAATTCCAGCTACTTGGAAAGCTGAGGCGGAAAGATCGCTGGAGCCCAGCAGTCGAGGCTGCGGTGGCCCGGGAGTGGCCACTGCACTCCAGTCTGGGTGACAGAGTGAGACTCTACTCAAAAAAAAAAAAAAAAAATTAGACCCAATGTAACACCCAGAGGGATTAAAAAGAAAAACAACCAATTTAATTCACTCTATTTTGTGAAATAAGTATTTATAAAACTCTAGATCAAGGTTTTCCAACCTCAGTACTACTGACATTTTGGGTTGAATAATTCTCTTTGTTGTGGGGGGGCTGTCCTGTGCATTACAGGATGTTTAATCTCATCCCTGGCCTCTATCCACCACATGCCATTAGCAACCCCCCAGTTGTGACAACTAAAATGTTTCCAGGTATCACCAATGCTCCCTGAGGGGCAAAATCATACCCCCCAATGCTGTTTAGAATGATTATAACAGATTAACCTTCAAACGGCCTTCTTCTGAAAGGCACTTGCTACAATTGAAAATGGTTGAAAAAATAGTATCTGGTGCATCGTTTTCGGAGGAAGAAAAATCTCCTCATTAAGAATAAAACATCAGGAATTATGTAGTAAAGACTAGTAAACTTAGCCAGGCTCAATGGCTCGGCCTGTAATTCCGTGCCTTGGAAGGCTGAGGTGAGTGGATTGCCTGAGCCCGTGGGTTCGAGACCCATCTGGGTAGCTTGGTGAGACCTCATCTCCACAATGAATCAAAAAAATTAGGTGGGTATGGTAGCGTGCGCCTGTAGTTCCAGCTACTTGGAAGGCTGAGGCAGAAGGATTGCCGGAGCCCAGCAGGTCGAGGTTGCAGTGGCCGGGA